TCTAACATCTGAATAACTTCATGTAATCTTCAAGACATGGCCCAAAATGACCCCAATTCTGACGTGTTGGGCCTCCCTCGGTAGGGTAAATCAAAAATGAGTTTACAAATCTAAATGATCAAAATTTCTCTTACATGGAGTTGGCATGCCTCTGGTTTTAATTCCTCAAATTCAAAACTACCTTGGACACTCACCGTGAAATCAGTTGAAAGGAGCATTTGGGGCAGCTTATTTGTCGCTTGTACGTTTTCAAAACGCCATGGAGGTGTTCATTTCGAGTGTTTTACGTGAATTTAAGGAAACGACGTTTTTAAAATGTATTAGACGTCGAACGTGGATACGACCCCGCGTCTCGCGTTTCTGTCTTCCAATCGCAATCTACCCTTTGATCTCCTGCAATTCTTCCCCTGTGATTTGTCTCGCCTGAATCAATTTCGTTTCGATGCAAGAAAAGAAAATCGGCGTAGTTCTCAACTGATTTCCCGTAATTTTCAGTTGATTTCCCATAATTCTCAGCTTTGTTGTCATGTTCTTTGTGCTTGGTCGGGCTTTCGCATTCGGAGTAGGAGCGGCAGATCTCGGTGTAGGCGGCATAAGGAAGTGTGGATTGATGTTCAATTCAATCTTGTATTGCTATTGACTCTCGGAGAGTCCTTTTAGGTTAGATTTCAGGATCCCTCTGTGATTTTCTTTATTTTATTTGAATTCTGTAAGTTGCAGAAATTCACTTTTGAATTGGTTTAGTTTAGTAAATTTTTGGCTAACGACACAATTGAATGATTAAAAACTGCAATTCAGAGATTGAATTTTTTTGTCTGTTTATGTGAATAAGATGTCTGTATATTGATTGTTGTGTTTTTTCCGTTTGTTGCTGAAGAATTTATATTGCACTTCATTTTTATTTGAAGATTTTGCATGCAATTATCTCACTTCATTTTTATTTGAAGATTTTGCATGCAATTAGCTGGATCATGTTTCCTTAAATTTGTTTTTCCCTGTCAGTTGATCTATTAGAATTGCTCTTAATATTTATTTGCTCTTAGAACACTACAAGATTTATTGTGTCCTATGAAAAAGAACTACTCTATGGCATGTAAATTTTCTAAAATTTAAGGCTTTATTTTCCGCCCGACATGATATAGATATTGGAGAAAATTTGGGCCAATCAAAATTTGTTTGGGATGGATTTTAACTTTGTTGGATTTGCGTTGAGATTGGTACATATATATTAATAATCAAACAATTCATGTATTACAATCATTTGCTTGTATTACAATCATTTGCTAAACATTTGCTAAAGCATGATTCATTTCAAAATTTCAAACTTTGGTTTTTTATTCTTGCATCCAACCATCAACAACGGTTGATGATCTTACGTCAGTAAGAAACATGAGGATGACACAAATTGGCAATGAATCTTCGCATCAACGTCAAATATATAACCTGCTAACTGTGCCACAAAACTTTGTTGTTGGCAATCGTTACTTCCACACTTTGATAGTTTGAGAAATGCTTGATTAATGTTTTAATAGCCTTCATACTTGTTGTCTCGAGATCTGTCCAAATTTATATGCCTCAATTCCTCTGGATTTTTTTAAGAACAAATTTGACTTTTTTTTTATAATTAAATAAAATTATTGAAACTATTATAATTTTTTACTGTTATAAAATGATATTTTTTGTTCTGAACTGTCAAATGTGTAGTCGTCAAAGTTCTAGTGTAAACAACAACACTGCGCCTGTCAGAATGGTCTTTTATCTACAAAAAGCTGCAAATCAGTTGTTTTCCAAATGTACAAAACAAACAGCTTACCCAGAACAGGGGCAAAATGATCATTTATCAAGAATTAGTTGTTTTCAAAACGCACAAACCAAACAGCTAGCCAATAAGATAAACTGCTGATCAGCATATTATCAGGATAAGCTGGATAAATTGCAGCTGCCCCAATGATCATTTATCAAGAATTAGTTGTTTTCAAAACACACAAACCAAACAGCTAGCCAATAAGATAAACTGTTGATCAGCATATTATCAGGATAAGCTGGATAAAACATACCCGAAGTCTCTTCTACGGGCTTAGCTAGAATTACGCGCCTCTTTTCCTCAAGTGGAAGTTGGTCCTCCTTTGTGTCATCACAATCTTCAATGTCTACTATGTCATTACCCAAATTTTCATGAATGCTCTGCTCAGTGAACTAGATCACCCCCTTGATTGTACAGTTCGATTCAAAATGTCTAAATCCGTGACACTTGAAACACTTCTTAGTGGTGAAAGGGTCTATAACCTTGTTGAAGGGTCCATTTGGGGTAGCTTATGTGGTGCGGTGGCGTTTTGAAAACGCATCTGAACTGTTTGGGTAAATTGAGTTTTGGCAGCTTATGCGTTTTGAAAACGCTGAAAGCAGCATTTTCACACAGCACCTATCTAGGTGTGGTGGCAGTTTTCTAGAAGTAGTCTAGCTTTTTCAAAAAAATACAAATTTTAAATGGCTACCACACCTTGCTTATCAGCAGATTATTTTTAATCAACTTATGAGCAGATTATTCAATAAGCTGCAGCTGCCCCAAACAGACCCTTAAAAATGTGGATTGTTTCCACATGTTCTCTACTCTGAATCAGATTTTCCTATGACAACATCGTTTTGGGTGTTCTCCTGGGTGTACTCTTGTTGTAAGATTACAAGATTGAATTCTGCCTGTAAGATGGGTTGTTGCTCGGTGATGTGGTATGTATACTTCTGAAAAACATGTCCGAATTTTCAGTCTGTAGTAAGCTGGTAGAAATTAGAGCTCTATCTCTCGATTCATCTTAAGATTCTCCAATCTTTCCTAAGTTGGCTCTTCTCTCGGCCTTCTTTGATATTAGATTCCACAGTGCTTGGGCCGATCTTCTACATCACTAAAGTCCTCCCCGATTAAAGGGATTCAAATCTTCGTCTTTGCCTCCCCTATGACTCTCTCGATCCCGGTCGAGGGTAATCTCCCTCTGGGTTTCATCCTCAATGTCTACAAGCCTCTGCCAAAGTCAGCAGATCTCTTGATGTATCTCCCCCCAAGTAAGCTCAGGTGTGCATCTCCTTGGTGGCATGTTTAGAGTTTAGACTGGGGGGTGAAAAAGGGTGTAGTGAACTAATCAACGGTGTCAAGAGTTTGATTTGGAGTTGCTGATGTTGAAAATCAGCAAAGAAGAATTAAGGTTAGGTCAAAATGTGAATAAGGTTTGGGAATAAGAAAGAAAAAATTTTGTAGAGGGATAAGACAGATGCTAGGAAACCATAGAATAGAACTAGGGTTATGCTAGCTCTAATACCAAATGATACGGGAGTTAACCCAAACCAAGTCAGAAAAACAAATAATATTACTAAAAGCAAATAAACAGTTACAAACAACACACTTGAAAGGAAAAATAGAACACACACGGCACGCATACTCGCGTTAGGGTTGTTCCCGAGTGATGGCAGTAACAGTTAGAGGATTGGGTGAGGTGACGACAAAGTACGGAAGGGGGTTTCCGGGCTATCGTAGAAGAGCGACAATGATTATGTCGTTCGAATGGTCGGGTAGCAAGGCTAGGCAGTTTAAATAGCAGAAGTTTGTTGTTTGGGACAGCTGGACGGTGGGAAAGCAGCAAGGGGGAAGTGTTGGGACGTTGCGACGATGGCAACAAGCTGGAATGAGGAGAATAACTTGCCAGGTGGCTGGAACAGTAAAAAAAGCCCAAAACTACCGTTTCCGGGCGGCGGCAATGAGTGGGAATAGCGACAACAGCGACGGTGAAGGTGTGGGACTGCAGGACAGCCACATGAGGATTGTCTGAGGGCTGCAACAGCGAGAATAATGGATAGACGGCAAGGAACTGCAGGGAGACAGCAACAGAATTGTTGCAGGGCATGCCTGCAACGATGGGGAATACGAGGCAGCAAAACGGGAGGGATTCAGAGGAGTTGAGGAAGGACAAACACCACCTGGAGACCAAGATATAACCCTCGAAGAGAAAAAGAGAAGCCGACGGCTGTCTCGGAACAAAGCACATGAAAAAAACTATTAATCCAAACTCTAATATACACATATATAGCGAATAACTAAAAAAAATGAGTAATAACAAGAAAGAAGGAAGAAGAAAGGAAAATGAGACTATTTCGACGGCCTGACTCTCGTCTCTCACAATATATTTCCCGTGGTATTGTAGCAGCTACAATATTACGAGAAAACTATACGGGAAAAAGCTACCACATCATTTATTACTTCTTGTTGCCATAATAAACTAATAAGATCAACACATCACCCTGTTTAGATTCCCTCTCTCTACATGCATCACCCCAATATACAATACAAGCATTAGAAGAACAACATACTTACCAGTTCAAGTTATGGATACAAGTCTCGTATTTATATTGATCTATGTTTGGTGCCAAAATAATTGGGCAGTGCAATGTATATTTTATAAAAAGTTTGTTTTAATATAACTCTCTATGACTGAGCATCCTTTAAATTTTGATCCAAAACTAAGCCAAGCTTGCTTCAGCAACATTGACATGTAAGTCCAGCTAATGAAACCGAAATAGATGATAAACCCTAAAGATTCATAAATAATAAAATAATTTCTCCAAGACTTGTATGACGAAAATGACACCTTTATCTGTTTACAAAAGCTAATTATTTTATCCACATAGGAACAGTCTTGATATCCATTTGTACCGCAATACATGTTCATCATAAAGCTAATTCTGGCTTAGTAGAGGATAGATCAATCCAAAAATTGGGGAAAATTTGATCTGAAAAAAATAATAAAAACACTTTCGCACGTAAAAACAGCTACTTTACACATTTAGTTTTTTTTTTTTTTTAAATAATTGCAACACTGATAAAAGGTGTGGATCAAACGCATGACTTGCTTCCGTTTACAACAATGAATTGTATGAAAAAGCATGAATTCGTTACACTCTAAAAGTCCAGGGAAGTTTTATAGGCATAAAATTGTAGATATATTATCTACTACCTGAAGAATGCAAGCTAATGCAGCTTGGAATTTCTCAATTGGAAGCTCAACAAGCCTTGGAAATATTGGTAAAACCTGAAAAAAATAATGCAAAAAAAAAATCTGTCAAAAAATTATAATACGGCGTTACAAATTCCATGGTAAAGCAAAATCCAGCTTACAACAAACAGCATGATAATAATACTGCACCTTTAAGAAAAAATAATAACCCATTACGAAATTTTTAAACTTCATATCTTACGCATTGCATAACCACATCAAGATTAACTGACATCACAAATGATTACTAACTATTTACTTCAGAGTACGTTTTAAAATGTAGTATTTGCATATAAATAGATTTCCAGACGCCAATTTTTTTAATGATATGTAAGAAAGGTTTTACCAAAATATTCATTAGAATAGAAAGGAAGAACTTCATACTAATTTCAATTTATAAAGACATTATTGACCCAGAAAAAGACATCAACCTGCTGAATGCTCATTAGATAATTGAGTTTCTACAGACACTATAATTAAAAATTTCAATGCTCAAAGAAGATAATTTAAGAATCCAAGATCATCAATACCTATCCATTTTTACCTATAGTATCATTATAATAAAGACATCATCCAAATTTTATTTGAGGATATAAGCTAGGTTTCCTACATTGTAACTTGGATCATGAATTTGATTCACAGTAACAGTCTCAATGCAATGAATGGTAAAGTTTCCATTTTGATATTAAATATAATTTTTATTTGGAATCCAAACATTGTTTTTCTCTGAAGGATAAAACAAGAAAATATCATATTAGACAAATGTGGAAGGAGCATCTATTGAAGTTCAGGTAGTGCAAAATAGACAGGTAATTTTGGCATGCAGCATGAAAGGTAAAAGTTGGACAAAAAAAAAGGATCTATAAAATTAAATTTGTGATTATAATGAAAAGGGATATATCAATAGTAACATAAGAAAAATTGAAATATATCTGCTCAAAATAGGTTTAAAGTCTTATGCACTTAAAAAATATGAATATAGAATAGGGATTCATAAATTGAAACCAAATAGTTGGAATGAAGTATTATTTTATTGGAAATAGTATACGATGATAATGGACTCAATAAATTTACTAGTTTTAAGATTGCATTAATATATCATAAATTATGGATTTAATTGTATAAACAAGAAGAACACGGGGGCAGTTTTTGAGGTGTTGGTGATGATCAACGAGTAGCAAAGGCAACAAATTTAATGGAATTTGATGGAATTTGATAGAATGAATGCTGAAAGAGGAACAATTTGATGAAGGAAAAAGAATAGAAAGAGAAAAAGAGATTGAAAATAAGAATTAAATGTAATGTTTTCAAAGCGATAAGTGCAATGTAATGTGTAAAGATTCCTTCTTGCTTCAATGTGCCAAACATAAAATGAAACGACACTTTTACTAAATACAACATTCATGACCTTTCTCATATAAACATATCTTATCAGCATGTATTATTTAATTTACAAAATTTAAACTACATCAAGTAATACTTTTCAGTATATATTAATACATTCAATCACAGTGATACTTGCTCTTCAAAAGATAAAAAAATAAAATAAATATGGATGTGATGAAAGAATAGCTAAAATAAAAAACACTCATCAAATTGAACAACCAACAATAGATCAAGAGGTAGGGGCAATATAAACATGAGGCACTAAGAATCATACAAAGGATACATTAAAATACATTCTCAAAAAATCTAGTGGAGAACTACAAACACCACTAACACTACCAGCATGATTCGACAAAAGACGCGTAAAAATTACTAGCAGGTGAGAGAACCTGAAAATAGGAACACCAAAAAGTGGCTAGCTCCAATGCAAGAGAACAAAAAACCAACAAGCAATGAGTTAGCAACTCCAGCAACTAGAGAGGAAACAGTGAACTTCATGCCCTAATTATTTAAATAATGCTTAACCAAACTATGAAATGTGAATTATGCTTATATTTTTAAACAAATTCAAGAGCATAACACTATGACATGTTGCACATGCAATGATACAGTCTTGAGCTTCTAAGCAAGCAATGTTATTAGGCCAACGCATTGCTTTGCTAGCTTCACTCCTAAAATGTACTTTTAATAACACTACTTAAATGAATTCCTCACGGAGAAGGATGAATGTGTGAAAAAGGAAAACTACATGGATTAGAGGAAGTGGGGACAATTGAGAAAGGTCATCAAAGAAAATCCATATATCTATTCCATTATCAATCACCATCAATTATAACCTCAGGCATGGACAATCTATAAAGTTAACAGCAACGGCAAAATGGAAAATATTTCTATCAAAAAAATTATTATTTTATCCTTAACAAATACTAAAAATAAAAAATAGCCATGTCAAAAACACTAAACTGGCAAACCAAATGTCTAGTGACTAAGAACAAAAGTAGATAATTCACATCGCATCAATTCCCTTGGAGTGAGAAGAATTCTAGTAAAGTGAATTAAATGTTGTCAAATAAACAACTGAATATCCTCATCTACAACAATTAACTGATTAAGGGCAACATTCAAAAAAGCTAGTAGCATACAAAAGCAATATCAAAATGGCCATAAAATTTTCATGCTTCATGAGAAGGAATAAAAATAGTTTTATAAAATCTTATATTTGCTGATTGTTTTGATAAAAAAATGCATATAAATATGTATATTAATTTATATTAATTAACATTTTAATAAAAGTAATTGAATATATTTTAGTGTAATGTTCCAATTCCCTTAACTAAAGCATTATGCTTTACTCCACATTCAACTAAATCAAGCATGCAATGAAAGATTTATATATAGAAAAGCCCAAGGGCTGATTTTATTGAAAAAAGGATACATAAATGTTGTATGAGAGAGTCCAATAGAGGCACCCTACCCATACGACACCAAGTACAGTAATACCCCAACAAAAAGATACAGATAAACTCAATAAAAATTTAAAACAAATTTAAAATATGCAGCAAACAAATAGCTAGGGACGAGCCAATTTAGTCATGACTTTTGCTCTAGTTTTAGGAGCGGAGCCAGATAACAAACTTTGAAGAGTCGTGTCATTGTCAGGAGTGACAAAAGTATTATCCATTAAGTTTCCAAATTGGAGTGTGCCCCCAGCCTTCTTCCTCCTCCGAGAAGTGTAAACCTGCTATTCTTCATCTGAAGACTGACTCATGTGATCATCGGTCTTATTAGATATTAGAACCACAGTATAAGGAAAGACAGTCGTTATCACAGTGATAGGTTCCAGTGTATGTGAAGGGTGAATTGTCACCTCTGCACCTGATGCTTCCTGAATAGGAGATGCTAGTCTATCCTGATTTTCGGTTTGAACATTATCCGTTGTAGTATGGTCAGGAGAAAGGATCCCAGAGGTAAAAACCAACTCTTGTCTTGTGGTGATTCCCTCCTCAGGTTGGTTGTCATTAGATTTGTTAGGAGCGCGTTCAAGCATGTGGGATGCACTAATAACATGTTTCTGCTTTTGACTATTGATTCTCAACTGTGGGTGCAATATGAAATATTTCTACTATGGGTGTCCAAACATCTTACAGTGTTTGCAGTAGTATGGTTTTTGTTCCATAATGATTTTTTGCCAATACCATTGCAATAACCATTGTGAGCACCATTGTGAGCAAAGTCAAACCAGACTTCTTCTATATCTGGTAGTGTAATATCACTTTCAATCAAAATCTTTGCAATAGAGGGTCTTGAGAAATGAACTGTAGGTAAGTCTACCAGCAAAGATTTTTCAAGGATAGTCCCAATTGCATATAAGATAGGTAGGTCAAAGAATTGAAGCTTGAGTTTAGGTAATGAGAACCAAATAGGCGCAATTGGGGGTTCTGGACTGGTAACAAAATTAGGGGTCTATTTGATCAATTTCATATATTTACCCTCGATTGTGATGAATTTCTTTGAGAAAATCCTTGTGTAATCATCTTCTATGTTCAGCTATATCATAAAATATCGTCCGTCGAAATGACCCAACTGTCAATCTCCAACCAGTTCGAAATCTTCAAAAATCTTCCTGATAATCTTCATCTTAGGGCAACCTAATTGGAACTTTCTAACTAGTACTTTCTGCAACCTAATTGGAACTTTCTAACTAGTGTAAATTTGTATTTTCCTGCACGATTTGAAATTTCAGCGTCAGAGAAGAATATTGCTGGTTTGCCCGTCTTTTTCTCTACTTTTTTGATGAAATTGCAATATTCACATCCTGCAACAGAATCATAGTACATCTGCGGGAATATTGGACTATTTGCAAGGTGGAAAGAGGAGTTGCGTTTGTGAACCACTGTAGAATAGAAGAGTTTGGCGGAGTTATCACCAGTGAGGGCGGCAGCGTGGGAAAGCCCTGAGGCCATTATCGTGCTTCACACAAGCATTGCAGCGACTGCCGCCTACGAACGAGACGCTAGCGGTCGAGCAGGTTGAGCAGAAACTCTGGCGGAGCAGTCGAGCAGACGACGAAACGGCAAAGCGCAAGATGCTTGAAGCAGACGACAAATCAGATGTAGAAGACGACGACGCGTCTCCTCCACCGCAGATGACGCAACAGACAAGCAGACTCGAAGCAGCGCGAGCTCCTCTGCCAGCCAGAGCCGATGACGAAGACAAAAAGGAACAAAACAAGCGAAAAAGCAGTCGTTTGTATCGAGCTAGGGTTCTCCATGAGCGGAAACCCTAGCAAAGCGAAAACGAAGACTCATCTGGTAATGTTACTTTATATTACACACACACACACACTCACACATATGCCTTCAAATGGGAGATACGAGAGGCTCTGCTAAGGTTTCGCCTCACCGCGAACCCTAGCTTCTGATACAGTATTTGCTCGAAGAAGAAAGGGAGTTGTCTACTCTGTTTCGTCGTCTTCATAGAGCTTCGTCGAGGCTCCGTCTTCTGTGACTCGTGTCTTCCCGCGGTTGTTTCATCTTTCTTCATAGAGCTCATCGAGTTGCGCCAGTTTCGCGGCTTCGACTTCTGTGGCTTGGCCCCAACCGTCTTCGGCTCGTCGTTTCTGCTTTGCCCTCTACCCGACTTAGCAGGGATCATTTTCTGCTTCGCCCCTTCCAGATTTCGCTCTTCCGTCCACTGTAGATTTGTTGTTCTTTCGTCGTGCCTCCCTCTTATGATAATGGCTTCGGACACATCATATGCTACCGCCCTTGCAGGAGTCCACGCCTCAGGTACTCTTAAATCGTGTTATTTCCCTTCTTCGTTTGATTTGGAGGAAGACATCAAGTAACATGGTAGGAAGAATTGGAAGTCTGTCATCTTTTTTACAGAAGCTGAATGTAATCAACAAAGAATTGTAATCTTCCTCATGTCGTTTGAATTTGGTTTAAAAATTTATTTATGGTCATCCCAAAATGGAGTTTATTCGTAAGGAATTTGAGCTTATGCATCTTGTTGTGGAGTAAAAAATTGGACTTCTAGATGGAAGACACATTCTTATTCAACTTAACAATGAAGAATGAATATTGATAATAATTTTCACAAGTGCAATGAAGATTTAGAAATGATAATTTGAATTGAAAATAGAGCAATGAAAATTTTGAAATGATCGGTGGACTTTAACCCACAGACGGACCACCAAAAATTCTGGTCTGGATTCGCCTCCATGACCTGAAATTTCATTATTTTACTCAAAAAGTGTTCTCCTCTATTGCCTCAACTTATTATAAACCACTCAAAATGGGCATTCCTATTTTGAATCTTTCTCGTCCATCTGAAGTCAGAGTACTCGTTGTAAGAGATATCACTTCTACCACTTCTGAGGAAAATTGTTTAGGCACACAACACCATGATTATTGACAAAAGGTTGTGATTGAGTATTTCCCTTTGTATTGTTCGAACTATCTTATGTTTGGTCACTCCAGTTCTCAATGTCATCTGCACCCCCACCTCAAACCAAAGAAGCAAAATGTTCTGCTAGAGGCAGTGATTCCCCCTCGTCCTGATATGCTCCAAGTTATCGATAGTATTGATCATCAAAAGGATACCCCTGAAGATGTCACTATCCATATGTTAAACCATTCAACCTCCACAAAATGTTGTAGTTTCCCCATCTTTGGAACCTTCTTTCGTCGAGACGAGTTCACCTGCCCTAGAACCTATCACTGATGTTACGGGTGGCAATATTGTTACTGTTTATCTACTACCTCATCAGGTCGAGCAAGATGTTAATGTTACTCAGGCACATGGGGTCTATGATGAGCAACAGTCTACACTTGTCCGACCACCTTTGAACCAATTTAACGATCAGATGAATCAATCCTCAAATGAGGAATGACAGGTTTACACATCCTGAAAGAAGAAGACTTACTTGAGCTCAAGAATTTGATGGATGATACTTTGGTTACTTCGAGTAATGGTACGCACCTCACCAATTTGCTAGTCGGCTCCCTTCCGAGAACCCGAGGCAGAGGCAAGACTTATCTTTTATTTTTTGGGTTTTTTGTGTGCCTTGTATCGTGCGGGTTGGTGTCTTCTTTTAGGACCACTCATACAACCTATTTGTACATTTTTCTCTTTAATATAATTTCCCTAGGGCCTTTTCCAAAAAAAAAAAAAAACACGCTCACACATATCCTCTTAAACACTAATTCCACCTTATTTAATTTACATTCATGAAATCAATTAACCGTCTGAAGCAGTGCAAGTTAGGAGTCATAAGCAAGAAGATGGGAAAATGAGGGTGGTTGGAGGCTTAGGTGGGTGGAATATGTCTGTGTTATGCCATACTTTATACAATTATAACATGTCATTATGACTGCGTTATGACATATCTATAAATACTCCTAAAACCAACTCCACTTTCCGTTATTTCTACTCATGAAATCAACTAACCAATTGAGGAGCAAACTGAGAGAAGATAGGAAAATGAGGGTTGGAGGCCTAAGTGGGTCATATGTATGTCCTATGTGTCCCTATCGATGCTTCATAGAAGTGTGCTAAAGTAAAACAATGCACTGACCTAATGCATCACCGCTTTAGGAGCACAAGTATGCAGAAAATCGAGAGTATCACACATTCACACTACTTCGTTACATTGAATCATAGAGTTGCATGCTCAAATCAAACAATAACAACATCCTAGAATACATTTAATGGAATCATTTGCTTCTCCTAACTAGATTTTACATTCGTCGAGTCGTTGCTTATTAGTTTTGTGTTCTCTCATTGGTGTTGGTCGCTTGTTCATGACTCTCCTCTTGATGCTCTCTCACCCACTAGTTTTCCTTTATGCATCTTATTAATTTTTGTTAGTGACTAGTAGCTCCTTGCTCACGATCTTCATCGTGAGAATGCTTTTTGATGCATCTTCTATACACTTCTTGGCCACATTATTATACTATAATCGTCTCTTTATCTCTAATTGATCTTCATCTCATAAATATTCTTAATTTTAGCTTTTGACTGATATTGTCAGCACTATTATTCATATCTTTGATATTTTTATTGAGCTTCAAAAAGCTAGAAATCACGATTATGATATGTAACATCATATTTTCTTAAAATTAGTACCTGATGAGATTAAAAATATGCTAATTAAAATATTATTATATAGACAATGTGTATATATGCACAAATCACAAGTGCTCTAGTTAGTAACAACAAAACTTCATTTTTTTGCTTTATGCATCAATGGAAAAAGAAAAAAAGAAAATAAAAAACCCAAAAAAAAAAAAAAAAAACAGAAATTCCCTAGTTCACTTAAGAAAAGATGAAGACAACTCAAAGGAGAATGAAGAAAAAGGAGCATGAGCGTTAAGAGGATGAGAGCCTGGGCCATCGTAATAGAGAGAGGGAAACAAAGAGGAAGGCTCAATCGACAAAGCGAGATGTAGAGACTTGAAGAAAAGATAAATGAATGTTTCAAGGGAAGGGATGCAGGGGTAAAAGAATTATAGAATTTCATAGCTAGTAGAAGACAAAAAAAAAAAATCATAAAGTTATTCCTTTAATCATCCTCAAATGCAACCTAAGTCCTACTAATTAAAAGAGTAGTGATAACTACCCTAACAAGACTAATTCTCAAAATGATAAAATGAAAAGTATATCCACAACAAAAATGAACGTTATACCCCCAATTTTAAATCAAAATAAACGACAAATAAAAATAATAACATAAAGCTAACAAGTTAAGTTTTTGTTCGGGGAAACTATAGCTAAATTAGTTGTACAATTGTTGTGAAAAATAGATTTTGTGAAAATTGTTATAGATATGATAATATTTTTTTCCTTTGAAAAAATTTTTTATTTTTATTTTTATTTTTTTGGAAAAAACATTTGAAAAAGGTTAAGAAAATAACTTCCTTATAACCAGCCCTCTAGCAAATTTGATTATATGAAAAGCAGCAAGAATGTTGTTGCCAAAAAGAATAATGACAACTTTCTGGAAAACAAAACAAAAAAAATTGCCCAAAAAAGGCTTTAAAATAGATTAAAATGACAAAGACAATGATATATGACTATGATTGAAGAAGACATCTAGCACTGCATTAACAAGCATACTTATAGTTTCACACTTATCCAGGTTACTTAGGTAATAAACTAATATTGTGTTGCATAGGCTAAAATGTGGCAAATGAGTCATGGTAGAACAAGCATATTAATCAAATATTTCCACTAGAAAACTTGAGAATTCCTTGTCTAGCTATTCCCAACTACACAAGAAGTATGAGTCAATGCACCTGATCATATTCTTTGATATTTACAAACTTTCACCAATGCTGTTCAAAACAAAAGAAGTGAAACAGCTTTACTCAATAAAACCATAAATGCATACTCTATGGGTATAAAAGCAAATCCAAACTCATGCAAAGGGTAAATAAGTAGAATATCAATCAAATTTGCATTGATGTAAGCTTAATTATGTTATACCTGAAATTTCTTTTTATGCGTTAACTATTGTAAGCCACTGTAAAACCGTTGCAAACATTATCGCAATGAAACTGTTTAGTTTGCAATAATTGAGTGGACTACTATAACTTAGAATTTGTGACATATTGACATCCTAGCAAAAGCCATATCAAGTCACGGTCCATAAAATATGACTAATTGACATTGGCGCTGGACCAAAAGCACAAGGACCAAAAGCACAAAGAATTTATGGGAGAATAAATATTGATAATAATTTTCACAAGAGTGGTATAAAAGGTTGTAGTGGCTGTAGTTATAGACATGCCAATTTGTTAAAAATAAAGATGTTTCCGCAAGGAAGATTACAAACTAATAATGTATTCCAAACAGTAAAGATACTAAAAACAGATAGACTTATCAAGAACAATAAATAGAAAGAATTGGAAGCAAGAGCATTTTTTTAATAGAATCAACAAAAAACATCATATCCATTATTAAGAATTGCAATAAGTAAACAAATATATGTTTGAAATCTTCCACACTCTAATAAAATCATGATAATTAGATCAGTCCATCATCTAAAGAAGATAAGAATCATTCTACACCATGTTTAAATAAAGCTTAGCAAATTCCGTCCAACATAATTTACAGACACCACTAATTAATGGATCCCAAGTTGAAAAGGAAAACTAAAACAAATAAGCATACAAAATCTTTTAATTAGCGCACGGAGGATTAAAATAATAGACAATACCTCATCTTTCGATAGAGAAGAAAGTATTGGGATCAAAATCGCTGCATCCTGTCAAGATTCACCAATAGGATTAGTATTATAACAAGAAATAATACCCAAAAACTAAACGGAAGAGTTATTTTATGAGAATAATCTAGTGAGCAAATGTCTCCCAAAAGAATTGAATTCAAGAGAAATAGCCTTCATTCTTGTTTCATACAGATGCTTAACAGTCGTAATTAGCTCAGCATCAACTGTTGATTCTTCAGTGATGACTTGCAACACCTGAACCAGTATTATAACAAGAAATAATACCCAAAAACTAAATGGAAGAGTTATTTTATCATAATAATCTAGTGAGCAGATATCTTCCAAAAGAATTGAATTCAAGAGAAATAACCTTCATTCTTGTTTCATACAAATGCTTAACAGCCGTAATTAGCTCAGCATCAGCTGTTGATTCTTCAGTGATAACTTGCAACACCTGAAGGTAAAATAAGGAACATATGTATTTAAACATTTAATCTAAAAACATCATCTTTATTACCCAAATCCTAGGGTGCATAAAAGCCTGAGCATCATGTATACCAGAATAATAAGTTTTTCGCATCCTTCAGGTGGATTGAAAATTATATGCTTTAGCTCGTTTGATGATGCTCCTACATTTCTCAAAAGGATGGGAACATGCCGATGAATGGCCTGCATTCAAGATTTTTGAGAAAAATAAATATCAAAATATATAAGAGAAACTTACGCACATGGCACACAATTCTTATGTATTTATATATCTCACATACAAGCTTTCATATTTGCATAAATAGCACTTCGGTGTTTTAAATTTATGCATGAAAAGATGTATTTTACTTTTGAAAAATGGTAATAGTGCAATTTTTAATAGATAATACCTCATCTTTTGAAAAGGTGTATTTCACTTTTATATAAACTTCAAGTCTCAAGAATGTAAGTTCTTCCACAAAATAGAGATTAGTCAGATGACTTCTACAAATACTCAACCGTAGTTTCTAGATCCATACTAGTTTGTATTGGGTTGCATCAGGTTGAAGCCTTGTGACATGATTATTTAATGATTTCCATTTCATAAATTGACTAGGGTTGAGTATCCCAAAGCCAAAAAAAAAGAAAGTGTTTTAAATTCATTCATGAAAGTGGATTCATGTTAAGCATAACAATAAAAAAAGCAGCACCGTCCATTTTAATGGAACTAGAAGAGCGAAGTTCAATGGATTTATAAGAAAATAGAAAAGGGAAAAAAATAATTGAACAGAACAAATAGGTCATTTTCGCTTCATCGCCCATAGGGAGGGGCGCAGCACTAAATGACATAAATCTAGAATATTGATTATGAATATGCCAACTTAAATAGTATAAAAGATTGAAAAAGGAAAGAAATATACTAAAATAGATTGATAAAATTACAGTAGTCATTCATCTATTTTAAAATTTAAGTCACTTCCCTTCCAAAACAGAGAGATACCTGCTTGACAGCCTTTGGAGCTCTTCCATAAATATCAAAAATAAGTTTAAAGAGACTTGGTTGAGACTTGGTTTCTGCAGAAAATTCTTGGTTTCTGCAGAAAATTAAAAAAAAAAAACTACGAATCACAAACAAAAATCATGTTGTAAAATATTATGTTCAATAAAAAAAAACTACAGATGAAAGAACCTTTGAACAGAGAGCAAAAAACAATGACGTTTTCTGCAGAGCTTGAGACGAGGACATTGATACAACATTCTGCAAAGAACCTGGGGCGTCCCTCTTGGTTTCACTTTCAGAAGCCGTGATTTCAGAATTCTGGAAAAATTGCATAAAATTGCACAGATCAAGAAAAGTGAAATACTGTTAAAAGTTGCAGCAATAATCTAATTTACCTAGGGTTCTAATAACTCAATATGGAAGCCCTAAGAATAAAAGGGGACAATATATATATACAGTACGCGAATGGAATACTATATACAATTATTAAGCTAAAAATAAAATTTCAAGAAAAGATTTAAATGATGAATTTTGAGCAAGAGTTCATTATCAAATACTTGAAGATTTCCCATACTTTATACAATTATTAATCCATACATAAAATTTTAAGAAGGGATCTACATGTTGAACTTCGAGCAAGAGTTCAGTATCAAATACTTGAAGATTTCCCTTATGAATGGCAATTGGGAATCTTAAAAACTTACAAGAAAAGACAAGATAGAACAGAAGAATTTCCAAATAAACATATCAATTACAAAATTGTATGGCTTTCTAAGGTGTTCAAAAACGTGCATGTAATGTCCATTACAGGACTGAATTTCAAAGGTATGAGTCCATAATTGCAGGACTGGTAATGGCTAAAAAAGTGTGAATTATCTCCATTCGAAGAATAAATTTCTATGGTAACAGCACAAATTAGTATTCTTGAAAACCTGGAATTATTTATACAGCCAAAAAGCGACCGAGTTGTAAGGTTTAGTACAAAATAAAAATTTTGAGCAATGGCACAAAAGATATGTAAGTTATTGTTTTTCAAATTTTTTTCTGAATGATTTGAATATATTGTGGGATGAACTTATGAAACTAACTATAATAATAATAAGTCAGCATTAAATATTGCACATTGTACTCAAGAACATAACGAAACAAAAGCTTATTGAGATATACAGATATTATATAAAACAAAATTTGACAGTGTTCTGGCTGGCACAGGGCTGAGGGCTGGACCAGTCGGTCCAACATGTGAGTGTCGGTCAAGGCTTGGACCGACCAACCTTCTAATGGGGCAGGATCTGCCACCTTTTCCCCCTCCCCCCAATTTTACTTATTATAAATATATGTGCTATTGTCTAGGGCTTCAGTTTTTGCTGAGTTCTCTTCTTGGGCAACCGCTAACGTCCTCATTTTCCCTTTTAGGGTTGTATGCAATGACGAGAAGGGACTCTGATTGGAACTCGTCCAAAGCGGTGATCTTCTCCAAAAGTTCAAGAGATGCACTGGTTGCAGCTCGCCCACGCGAGGATAGTTATCCTTCCCAAGTCCCCCTCAAATGTTGTCTTATGCAACTCTTCACCCTACCGCCATCCTCCGCTTCTAGTCGCCACCCCAGCACACCTCCCAGTCGTCAGTTGTTCCCCGCAACTCCCTGCTCCCAACCGCCATCCCCAGCCCCTCTTTCTGCCATCTGGTAGCTTTCCCACAACCCATCCCTACGGTGTCGTATACCAAGCTCACAACCCTTTGCTGTCAAAACCACCTTCCAACCCACCTACTATTGTACCCCTCTCGGCCAACCCCTCCTCTCTGCTACCCCAACACCACCTTCATCCTAGCCCTAATTTGGGTCTATGTATTGTGTCCTTTGTTTTAATGTACTAGGGTCGTTGTGTTTGTTGTCGGTATTTCCTATTTTCTAGTCTTGGTTGTAATCATTTGAATTTCAGCAATAATAATTTCATTTCTATAGTGAGTTGGGTTAACTCCGGTATATGATATCAGAGCTAGTTTAACTCTAATCATATCCTAAGGTTTCCTAGCATCTGTCTTACCCCTCCACCAACAATTTTCTTTCCTATTCCCAAACAATAACCAAATCTTAACCTAAACCAAATTTACCCTTGTTGATTTTCAAAATCAGCAACCCTAAATAATTTTTTAGACTCTCTTTCACCTCCCAACTATAAACGCTAGCCATGCCACCAAGGAGATGCATGTATGAGCCTACCCAAAAAGAGATACAACGAGAGATCCATCGACAACAGCACATACTTGAGGATATTGAGGATGAAACTTAGGGAGGACTGACCCTCGATGGTGATAGGGAAAGTCTAAGAAGCGAAAGAGACGAGAAATTCAACCCCTTCCATAAAAAAAACTACAGTGATAGTGAAAAAATGTCACAACGCTTTGAAATCCATTATCAGAGGAGACTAAAAAAAAGAGCCCACATATGGAGGACACAGGGAAATTAGTTTTGCCCGAGTTCAATGGAAGTACGGATCCAGATGATTGTACTGAATGACTACAATCAATTAAGAAGATCTTTAAGTACAAAAAAGATGCCATAAGATAAAAGGATGAAGCTTGCAACAATCAAATTGAGAAAGAGCGCCTCCTTATGGTGGGATATCTTGTAGAAGCAGAAGAAGAGAGAAGACAATGATAAGAATACCACCTCACTACCACTATGATATGTTAATGAGCCTACACCACCTACAACAGCGAGATCTATTAGTAGAGTTCACGGCGGAGTTTGAACAGTTGCAAATGAAGTGTGATTTGGTCGAGCCAAAGGAACACACCATAGTCCATTATCTGGGAGGCCTGAAACCCACTATTAGGAATGTGCCACAGCTGCAGCAAGCACCGGGAGATGTCCAAACATTCGCATTGAAAGTGGAAAAGAACAGGTAACTAACACTTATCAGGCAGCCACCCACAGTTGGAGACAGACAAGAGCATGCCTTAGGAAGATGAGAAAACTGATTCGGCTAAGGATAGAACCACCGCCAATGAGAAAAAGCCTGAGAAAGTAGCATGCCTACAACAGTCCCAGCCAAGAAATGCTTCAGATGGCACAAATTTAAACACATTGCCTCCAGTTGCCCGACCAGTCAAGTTGTGTTTTTACCGAGCAAAGTGTCATTGAGGAGGTTGGCAACGAGGAGACAGCAGAGAAATAAGGTGAGGTGTGTCATCTTCCACCTGATGAAGAAGAGGCGCTCGTGGGTTGACGGGTTTTATAGACTGAGGATACGAGAGATTTGCAGTAGCTTCTTCATAATATATTCTACACCAGTTGCACCGTGAACGGAAAGATATGCAGTTTCATCATCGATGAATGGAGCAATAAAAACGTGACGTCTACACAGATGATGTAGAAGTTGGGCCTCATGACTCAGAAGCGCTCAGTGATACTCTCTGACGTGGATGAAGAAGGAGAGCAGAGTCAGCATCGATAGAAAATGTCTATTGAAGTTTTCTATTGGGAGCAAGCTGCATGAACATGTGTGGTCTGACGTGGTCCCCATGGATGCATGCCACATTTTGTTGGGAGATTGTGGCAATTTGACCGTAGGACTAAGCACGATGGATTCAAAAACATATATTCATTCACCAATGATGGGAAGCACATAGTCCTCTCTTCATCGAGCACAAGACCACAAGCGCCCTTGCCAACATAGCAGAATCGATAGGACCGGTTTTGGTGATGATAGAGGATGATAAGTCTGAGACAGGCTCCAGACACGAGTCACAAAAGAGAACATTTCAGGATATCATGGTCGATATCTTACAACCATGGCCACCAACGTTTGGAGAGGTTCAGACTACCCTCAATTTAGATCTGGTTGAGCTAACCGTGGATTACTTTGGAGTATTCAACAGCAGACAAGCAAACTAGGTTCAGTTCGATAATGAACCCTTCGGAGACTGGACTGATACAGATGTATGCTCAGACGTGAAGAAAACTCGTCCGGTGTTTTGGGGGATAGTACAGTTAAGTGGGATCCAGGTGCTTCTCGGACCACAGTAGGAGATACTTCTGCCCCGGAAGATAACTATAACTTCGTCACCGTCAACATGCAGCCAAAAACTTCTATGAATGAAGTCAAAACTCCTCCAACTCCAGGAGACTGAAGTGGGGCTAAGGATTGGACCAGTCAGTCCAGCATGTGAGTGTCGGCCCAGCAAGAAGGCTGAACTAGCCAACCATCTAATGGGGCAGGATTTGTCACCCTTTCCCCCTCCCCCTACTTTATTTTTTTAAAATATATGTGCTACTCTCTAGCGCTGCATTTTTTGTTGAGTTCTCTGTTTAGACAGCTATCAACATTTTTTTTTCCTTATAGGGTTGTATCCGACGGCGAGAATGTGCTCTGGTTGTAACTCGTCCAAGATTGTGATCTTCTCCAAGGGTTCCAGGGTGCTCCAGTTGTAGCTCGTCCACGCAGGGAAAGTTATCCTTTTACACTCCCCCTATTAATAAGGCAAAGATCTACAAGAATAATGTTAATTCAATTTTTATAGCAAAAAACAAGGATTCAAATTCTAAATTAGCAAAGAAATGATAGTGGGAGCATATCTGGGCTCACTTTTTATTTATATTCATGTTTTAACTTTTGTTTATAAACTTTGGATAAAATATGTTCCATCCATAAGTGCTTAGTACGTGATTTATATTTTATTTAAAAAATGAAATATTACATTGTTCTAAAAAACACTCAAATAAGGCTGAGGTCTGTTAAGTACTTTCAGAACTATTTATTCCCATCCCACCCACAAGCGTTGTAGAGCAGGAAAAAAATTCTTCCAGAAAAATAGTAAGAAGTTGGGATCGTGCTTTGCAATTCAAGGGAAAAAAGGAGAGTTCTTTTTTTAATAAAAGAGTGTAAGAAATCAAATATGTTTTTGTTTACCATACCAGAGTTAACCAAAGTCATATTAGAAAAGCAAATAGTATTATTTGAAACAAACATGCAGTTACAATCAACCCACTTAAAAGGAGAAATATAACAACAAGTCACCCGCGAATTTGAAATGGCAACAAACATGACATAAATAATCAAACTAGGGTGGGATCTCGGGTTGGTGGTGGTGATAAGCAAGGGTTTGGAAGGGAGTGATAAGCTGGGAGCGCGGAGCAAGTGAGCGGATATGACAACGGAACAACAGATCCTTGCTGTCTGGCGACAACAAGGTAGAATCTAGATTCACAGGGGCTGGAATAGAGGACGTGTGGCAGGGAAGCAGTCCAGGAGACTGGGACAGCGGTTAAGTGGCAGGGATGTGGTCCGGGATGACTGCAACAGCAGCTGGTGGGAAGAAGAGGGTATTTATGGTGGCTGAAACAGCAATGACAGCAAGCAGGAGCGCTGAAATTGCAGGAAATGTGGGTCAGAATGCACAAACTGCGTAAAGAATAAAGCTGACAACTGGTTCGAGCGGCTGCAGCAGAAAACAGTGGCAAGGAGAAACTTTGGGAGGATGCAGAAGAGGAATAGGGAAGATGATATAGCTCAAGCACCACCCAAACCTTCAGATACAGCCCCCGGCGGCTGTCCTGACAGAAATCTAAGCCAAAAGCTATCATTCAAACCCTAATAAGACATATATAGGAAAGAACTAAAACGAAGTGAATGATATAATACAAAAGAAAGCATAAGAAAGGAGACCGGGATGGTTACAGCCCGTCTCACGCTAGATAATCCTGCAGCGCTGTAGCAGCTACACTACCGTGGTAATTTGGTGTGGTAAGCTCCTATGTCAATCTCCAGGAATTGAGAGAGCTTCCACCTCATTCGTCGAAGTTTTTGTCTTCTCATCGCATGGCGTCAAGTCGGCGACATTGAAGGTGGTGGAAATGTTGTAATCACCCATAAATCAATCTTGTTAGCGTTAACATTCCAAAGCACATCTTGATAGAATATGTATACATCCTGTTTTGGCACAATCATGATTAAAATTGTACGTGGATGGGTATCCTCACGAATCAAGCCTTTAGCTATTAAATCTGTAATTGGTTTATTCCACTCTTTGTGTACTTGTCCGAGTGTATCTGATACACAATTATGCAAGGAGGAAACAACTCTAAGACAAAATCTATGGCAGGTTAGACCACACTGAAGTATAACCACTCAGATGATTTATTTTCTCCTCTGAAAAGACTTGAAACCCATTGAAGAATTTTCTTCCACATGAAGCGCCAAAGACAATTTTCAAACCCTTTTGTCTAGACATCAGATGGTGGGTACACTACTGAACTGAATCTAATATCTGAATAACTCTATATAATCTTCCAGACGTGACCCAAAAGTGCTCTCATTATTGATTTGATAAACCTCCCTCAATAGGGGCAACTCAAAGAGTCTATAGATCTGAAAAGCCTGAATTTCTCTTACCTAGGGTTTTCAAGTCTCTGGTGTCGGTTCCTCGAGCTCAAGACTGTCATGGACAATCACTGTTAATTCAGTTACTCTCTCTCATATGGGCAAAGCTGGAACTACTTGCATCTTTTTTCTTATCAGTTGGAAGCTGGTACTCCTTTTTTGTATCCCCATCTTCTTTAATTTCTACCGTGTCATTACCCATTTCTTCAACAGCTCCCTGCTCAGTAAAATATATCATCTCATCGATTGTGAGAACTTTCAATATGCTCAAATCCATGATATATGAAATACTTTCTAACTGAGAAATTAAAAAATATGGCTCTTTCCACATATTCTTTAATTTGAATCGGTTCCTCCTCAGACGAGCCCATCTTGGATATTCCCATGGGCATATTCTACCTATAAGATCCCAAAGTTGAATCTTGCCTGGAAGATATGGTGGTCGCTCATTGATGTGGTCTCTCCCCTTCATCTGGTCTGTAGCGGGCAGGCAAGAACTGACGTTACATCTCCTGTTTCATCTAGGACAAGGTAGTGATCTTATCTTTTCCCTCATGCCGACAAGGGTACTTCAAATTTTTCCACCAAAATAACACACTCTTCTTTAACTCACTGGCAACTTGTTTCACCATTCCGTTCGGTGAGACATTTTGGCACTCAAAGATGCATTCCAAGGACCAAAGTCACTCGACAAACTCATCTAAATCCATGTGATCATCAAAATACGCAAAATTTGTCTTCACTTCAAAATTATGACTTCTGAGATATTTCCGATCACATCTTGGGCAGACATTCTTTATTCCTGGAATCCACATGATGAAATAGGTTCACTCCATTTCTTCAATATAGCAAGTCACCATTGTGACTACAAGTAACCCAACTAGATTGCCTCCTCTCAAAGGTAGCATGTCTCTGTTGTAGTTTCGGGATTCCCACTGCACATCGTCCCTTGAAATCTCGTGGACACCACTTTGCGAATTTCTCATAAAGATATCGTGTCCCTTCCCCTCGATCAAGCTTCCGACGATTATTTGCTTGGCGGCATAGCTAGTTTTAGGAATTTGAAGAGGGTATTTGTGAACAAGAAAGAAAATTTTTGTAGTGGAGATGGTTTGGGCATAGCGGATGCTAGGAAACCCTGGGATAGGAACAAAGTTAGGCAAGCTCTAATACCAAATGATATAAGAGTTAATCCAAATCATAATAGAAAAATAAATATTATTAGTTGAAGCAAATAAGTGGTTACAATCAACAGACTTGAAAAGGGAATATAACAACATAACATCCGGAAATCTGAAATAGCAACAGACACACAAATAATCAAATTAGGGTGAGACATCAAAGAAGTGGTGGTGATCGGTAGGGGTTTGGGAAGAGACCGTAAGGTGGAAGCGTGGAGCAATTGAGCGGATATGACAACAGAAAAACAGATCCTTGTTGCCCTGGGCGACAGCAAGGTGCAATCTGGTTCCCGGGGGCTGGAATAGCAAATATGTCAAAAGGAGGCAGTGCAGAAAGGCTAGGACAGTGGTTTGGTGGCAGGGACATGGTTCGGGATGACGTGAATAGAAACCGGTGAGATGGGAGGGGATTTACGGCGATTAGAACAACGATGACAGCAAGCGAGAGTGCTGAAATCCCAGGAAATATGGGCAGGAAATGCAAAAAGTGTCAGAAGAATAGCGTCGACAACTAGACCAAGCGGCTGCAACAAGAAACGGCGGCAGGGAGCAGTGTGGAAAGCATGTGGAAAGGGAATAGGAAAGAAAAACAACACCTAGGGAAAGCGATATGGCCGAAGCACCACCCAAACCCTTAGATACAACCCTAGAAAGGAGAAACATACGCTAGCGGCTGTGCTAACAGGAATCCGAGCCAAAAAGTGTCTTCCAAACCCAAATACAACATATATATAAGAAATGACAAAAACGGAATGAAAGACAAAAGAAAAGAGAACATAAGAAAGAAGAGCGGGATGGTTTCAGCCCGTCTCCTGCAATAGATAATCCTAAAATACTGTAGCAGCTACAATACCGTGATAAATTGTTACGATAAGCTCTCACATCAGTTTCATATTAGAGCATAAACAAAAAACTTTACAAAAAATGATCCTAAATTTACTCATTCAGAAAAAAAAGAAAGTTTCAGATAAGTAAACTCCTATTCAGCATGAGATTTTTTCTTTTAATATATAGAAATTGCAAACTTAACTTGGGAATTAATGAACATAGATTTTTGTCAGCAAGGACTTTCTTTCATTTAAGAGCACAACAACAAAAAAAAATGCTAAAACATCAAGTACAACTATCCAATCAAAAGAAACAAATGTATTCTAACGTAAGGAAATAAATATATTAGTGTCCACGAAAAGACTAACATAGATACTAAAAAGCTAAAAATCACATTAACGAAAGTAATTTATTACTTCAGTTTTCTGCCCACTAGAACTGGCACATTGGGACTCCGTCTCTAGAACTTCATGATTGACAACAGATATCAGCGTTTTCCTAGCAAAGCTCTCAATAATTTCAGAGGCATATTGGAGAACATAAAGCTTATTTACCACCTAAAAAATAAGAGTTATAAAAAATGAAATCAGAATTCAAATACTGATGATGTGCTAGTCGGAAAAAGGATTACCTTATAGAGAAGCACAAAAGCATATTATAAAATAAAAGGAAAAAAAATAAAGGAAAATATAAAGATTTTTATTGCATACCAGCCGAATAGCTTTTGTTCTAACTTCTTCTTTAGCATGAACAGCACACTGCATACACACGTAAATCTTGTAAGTTCTCTTCTCATTGAAAGTGTCTAACTATATAGATATATCATGACTCAAGTTTCATTAAATAATCAACATCTAAAATTATGTACAGCTCAATCAAACATGACAAGACAACTATTTACAGAAAATTAAAGGAAAGAACAGCCTTTCATGGTGACGCCAGGCTAAATCCAGTTAAGAAAATTAATGTTTCCCGAGATTCTAATGATAAACATTCTAGAATAGAGTGGCAAAGCAATAAATAATAAAATATGTTCCTCAAACCAATGACCATAGAGACATAACTATCTGCTTTAACCTGAAAAAATAACTAAATAAATATTCATGCTTATGCATTGAAACAAAAATATAATGTGTGCAGAGTGAATTAATAAACATTTTACTTATATATATTTTTATTTCTTGCGAACCAATAGAAGAAACTAAAGTTGACTAACCATATAATCAATGCATCTTTCTAACATGCAAGATCCTAACAATGAGGCATATATAAATGTTCAAAAAGAAGAAGCCATTATAGCAATTTAATCGAAAATGGGTTAAATTCCAAAATGGTCCCCCGATTCTTCATGTGGCTAGTTTAGCGCCAAAGTAACATACTTCTCAATGTAGTCCATCAAATATACAACATTAAACCAAAATAACACTCGTGGGCTAAATTGAGGTTAATTGTATAAATTACAAACATAATTAGGATCAATTTTGTATCATAATCTTTATATGAGGGGCCGTTTTGAATCAAATTTGTACATTCAATAAACTAAAATGGAGAAATCTGATACTATAGGATTAAATTGTCTACATTCAAATGAATATTCAAGGGGTTATATTGGGATCTAATCTAATTAAAAATATCTGGTACAGAAAAACTATATAAACTTGATGCATCATGGGATGTGCTAGTACACAAAGCAGCATACAAGCACTAAAATATCATGAAAAAATGAAAAGATAAAGAAAGAACAGAAAAAGAGTGCTGTAACCTCAAATATCTTGATCAAAGCATTCCATCAGCTGGCAAGAAAATCAATTTAGCAATTATATTTGTTCACTAAGCAATTTCTCTAGAAAAGTCGAGAGTTTTCCCATGATAAAAGCTTCAGGCATCACTTTCAAACAGTTTTTAAAGTTCAACTGCTTTAATTCATGATTCAAAAAAAAATCACAGCAAGAAACACAATTGAGTTCACTATGCTTTTTAGAGATATAAGGTATATAATTAGTTAAATAGAGCTAAGCATATGATATATAATTTTAGTAGGTATAATTCAATATTATTAGAAGAAAAAGTGATAACTATGTGTCATAGGCTAAGATATCTTGAATCTATAATACAGAAAAATAGGGATACATATGACGGAATATCTTAAAGAGTTCAGATTATATGGTTAAAATGAAGATGTCTAAAGAGTATTAAGCAATAAGAGGATATCATGGAAAGCTTAATGTAAATTTTATAAAAATGCAATCAAAGTAGCTACATTATATTGATTTAAGAATTCATTAGTGAAAGATAATCAATAGCTTGAGCATGTTGAAAATAAGAATGTTAAAATGAATATGCAATAAAACTATTAAAGATAGATTAAGGAATGATCTTATCAGAATGATTGATGAAGCATCAATAATTAAAGGACAGGTAATTGAAAATAAGCTTAGCTGATTTAAATATGTCCAGCAAAAGATAGAAAATGCAACCATTGGAAGAGTAAATAAAAGTAGCAATAACAAATAGTTAGACTAGGGCCAATAATGTGATTTGCTGAAAAATGAATATCACCTTTCCACTAATCAGTACCAAAACTAATTAAAAACATTTAGCAGTGCTACACTTTTATAGCTTATACCATGTATCAACAAAGCATTGTAAGGGAAATAAGGCCAATTATGTTAAAAGTGTCATTAAAAATGAATAACCCCTTCCTGCTAAAAATTACCAAGACTAATCATAACTTGATACCGGAACTAGTCAAACAGCAAAAACGGAATGAATGTTATTAAGCAAATGAATTAGGGTTACACATACGACTCAAAACGTCAAAAAAATACAACAACACCAATCTCCTACTAGGATCAGACAAGAAGATCCAAGAGTTGTGTTGTCGTCAGCGAGGTGGTTGATAGTAGTGGTATAGGAATAGGTGTTGGCAAGTAGGTGCGTTGGTAACCGGTGGCTAGGAGTGGAGAGAAAGGAATAGGCTGGATGGTGGTGAAATCGGGCGAGGCTAGAGGAGATGTTGGTAAGTGGTAAGGGAATTCGGAAAGGGCCTGGTGATTGTACGTAGGCTAGGAAGGGGCTCAACGGGCCGTTTGAAGGCTGGAGGAGTTGGACGGCAAGGGAGGCTGCACGGAAAGAAGTGGCAGGGAGCTGGGTGGAAGCTGGATGGACTGGACAGCAAGGTAGGCTGCAGGTAAGGGGGCGGCAAAGGCAAACAGAGAGTAGGGGTTGATCGGTGGCTAAGAGAGAGAAGGGGGAGTGTAGGGGGAAATCAGAGAGGATACAACACCACCTTGGAGCAAAATATAGTTGAAACACCAGCCGTCATCGAATACAACCCTAGCAATAAAAAAGGAGACTCCACATAGAATATGAAAAGAGAAATCACACAAAACCTAACCCTAATTCCAGCAAACGAGCACATAAATAGACTCCCATCAGGTGGGAAATAAAAAAAGGATAGAGTGAACCGGCTGGCAAAAGTGCTGCCACTTATAAATGCCACTCGGTCAAGTAGGGACCTGGACCGGCCATCCCAAACCGGCTACAGTCCGTCTCCTTACCAGTCGGTTCAGTTGGCAATTTCAGAAGTTCTGTGTCATAAACATTCAGAAATGCTTTTCTTTTATGGCTTGTATCATGTATCAACAATGTATTATAAAGGAAACCATAATTGTATTTTGAAAGATCTAAAAAAATGTTATATTCTTTTTTTTTTTGTTTAAAAAGATAATTAGAAGATTTATCTAATTTATTTATTTTTTTTGGGAGAACTATCATAACTAATTTGTCAGAGTATTTGCCTAAATAAACATAGTTTAGATATACTACAATTTAAATTTTTGTTATTTCCTATAATTTGAAAAAGAACAATGAAATCATCCAAAATGTAGGAGAGGATGTAAAGAGAAAGTTGAAAAAGACATCGGCATGGCTTTTAAAATAGTATTTCTTTCGCTGAAGTTGCATCCTTTATCCATGATTCACCCTCACTTCAACTTCTACTTTTGCATACATAACCAAGTTCAGGATTTCTGTGTAACATCAGTTTTGGATGCTCACAACACTTGCTTACATCTTAGATTTTGATGATTCAAGCATTAATGTTGATTCCATATAAGACAAAGTAAATAGAAAGTGGTTATTTCGCATAGCAATATTGTGTAAAAGCTTATTGAATAACTAAGTTTGTAGACATTTGTGATCTTATTCCAATGTGGTTTCTTATAAGCTTATGCACCAAACAACATAAAAAAAAAGATGGCACAAAATGCGAGGACTTCCCCAAAAAAAGCAGGCTTAAATCTTGCATTTGATTGCAAAACAATGCTCATAGTTCGCAGTAGATCTTGCTCTGGCCAATATATAGCAACAGAAGCATCACGCAACGGCAAAGAAACAGTGCAATAGTAAGAACATGGACGAGAGCAAGACAATTAAATTATTTCATATTATTAATAATCATATGAACACAAACCTTGCCCGAAAAACATATTTCAAATTTTACAGATGATTTTCTATTATCTTGTTCAAACATAGCATAACAAATGTGGCATAAATGGAGTTACAAAAATGATACAAAAGGTAAAACAAACATTTTCTTCACATGAAATGCTAATTTGTGAGTTAAACAAAATAAAAGGAAATTTCTAAGAAGAAACAAAAAGTGAGGTTTTCATAAAAGATAAAATTCTCTACATATGTGATAAAAGCTTGAGAAAAGACTCGTCAATGCAAAACAAAACATGTAAGTAGAAGCACTCAAAAAAAAATAAGTGGTAGAGATTCAAATTTCAAAGTAATTATTTCACATTTTTATAAAAAAAAAAAAGACAAAATTATCCTATTTACATATGGCATAAAAATTCAAATAAGAAATAAGACAGAACAATAGCAAGAATTTAAGTTATCACAGCAAAGAATTTATGTACAAAATTTTCATTCAAGTACATCAATTTATAATAATACCCCCAAAATGTTTAAGTGCATATCCAAACTATCAAATTTTATTCTCAATGATTGGGTAGACTCACTAGGACTTAGTTGCATAACTTGCAAATATGTAAGTTTGTTAGTTCACTTTAATACTTAGTGGCAGTTTTAAAATTAAAAATTATAAATCTATTAAAAATAACTTAATAGAATATGATCATAATGAAGCTATAAAATGTAAATTTTATAGAAATGGCGAAGAAAGCATCCAAAAAACCCCCAAAAAACTATGGGAAAATTTTGATGGAAGGAAGCAAATTGTTTCCCCTTATGATAAAGTGGAAGAAGGAGGAGGTAAGGGCGCTTTATCAAGTCGCTAACAAGACGTCTTTTGGGCATGTATCCCTCAAGGAACAAGATGCTCAGCTAAAATTTTGTATTGTTTGAGCATTCAAGAAACCAGGAACAAATAATTATGATTGTTTTAATTAACACCATTAGCACTCTTTTAAGTCGAATTGCAAGTACAATACATAACCACAAAAAACACCTCATTGAACCGCGCATCCCTCACTAAGTCCTTACAAGCATGGACACACATCTTGCCTAAGCACCTAAAATGCTAGGTATTAACACCAAGTAGCTATGATCTTGTTTATCAACACTCTCAAATATGATAATATTTAGTTGGACGCTGACTGCATGAGCACAAAACCACAAATAAACTTATTTCGTTAATCTTTGATCCTTCCTCTATATTACCCTCCAAAATAACTTTTTTACTCAAAATAGCAACACCTTCCAAAATAGGGAAATATTGTCATTCACTTCCATGCATGAAAGGGAGAAGCATGATTATTTAAATTTTCTCTCAAATTGAGTCATAGATGTTAGTCAATTGCTAGTTTAAATAGAGAGTTGAGACGTGACAGTGGCTTTGCAAAAATATGTGTTGTTTAAACATTTATTAGCATGTAAATGAGCTTCATGAGTCCTTCCTCTTGCCTTGCTTTTATGAAATGTCAACCGATCTCAAATTGATTTGTTGCATCATGATGGGCATGATTCTTTGTAATGTTTAGACAAGTATTTTAATCCCAAACACCACCAAGGATTTTCTAGTTGACAATTTTACTTCCCCAAGTAACATAATAAGCAGCATACCTTGACAGTGCCCCATATTGATCTTCAATTGGTTGTTGATTCGGCCCACACAACATAGATAAAGATGTCAACTGTCAACATCTATAATGAAAGTCATTTTGAAATGCAATCCCCATAATGAAATTTTTTTTCCATTATTGCAAAATTTGATATAGAGACCTGCTCCTTCACAAAATTGTTCATCAAACGGCTAAAAATGTTTATAGAAAAAAAGTGATATTTGATCAAGTGATAAAAGATTATTTGAGTCTACTAACTAGCCTGTAATATCTACCTTTATCCACAAGTGGCCTTCATTCTATTCCGTTTTTAGTTTTTTGGATCCATAAGTAGAGTTTCCAAAAATACATGTCATTCGCAAATAGCTCATATTTGGCTCACTAAGTAACACATGTTCGATTCACCATTAAGCAAGCAAGCCGAATACGAATAGTTATTTTAGTGTGGTCTGTAACAAAGTGTTCTTGAATAAATTAAAAACATAAATAAATAACACTTACTATAAGTTTTTTATATTGATTTTTTATGTAAGATTTTTAAAAATAGTATATTTTATTATTTTTAAATTATTTGAGATAAATTTAAACCGAACGCAAACTGAAATTGAATCGAACCCAACACGAAAAAGCACTAGGCTAGCTCAAGCTCAGCTCGTTACACCCCTATCCATGAAAGGGTGAGCTATCTATGTTACAACCAAGCATCCATTTTTTTTTTTTTTTGTAGATATAGAATGTCATTCTTTTGTAAGTAGAAATATCATCACTAGAACACGCCACTTCTCCATGGGAACAAAGTGTATGACATGATCTAACTATATGATCTCAAACTCCATAATGAGAAAATTACTCAATTTATTTATCTTTTCCTAATCATCTCCAGTGAGGACAATGGCATGCTGAAATAGAATGAAAATAGTTATTTTCCAATTCAAGAGAGAATTAAACAACCATGATGTAATTTGATTGCACAAACAAACACACATCACTATCACTTCTAAAAATTTATCAAATGATGTAAGAAAAGGCTAACTAAGACCATTTTGAACTAAGACCATTTTGGAGCATGCAAATTTTGTTTCATGCAAATTTTGTTTACATTTTCAAGTTCGAAGAATTTGTCTATAGATACATACCTTCAACTTATCATTTAAGAATGTATTCTTAGCATCTAGTTGATGCAGTAGCAAATTTAAATTTGTTTCTACTAAGAGTAAAACCTGATTGAGTTGAGTTTGAAATTTGGGACAAATACCTCTTCATAATTAATTTCATAAGATTATGTGGAACCTTTTTAAAACAAGTCAAGCAGTAAACACGTCCACCTTGTCATCAACATTATGTCAAAAATAAAAATTCAATTGCATCAAACTGGTTTGTTCCCTTCGAGTAAATCTGAGATTTCAAAATTTCAAATTTTCTCAAGTGCTTTAATTTCTTCTTGAATAGTAGTCGTCTCAATACTCAAGAGTTAATTGGAAAATGTAAATACGTAGTGTTGGTGAAAAATCGAATACTAGGAGACAGTCCATCACTGAAAATCAAGTCAAAGATTAGATTTAAACATGAAACCTTAAAACATTTTCTAATAGCAATAGGTTAATGAAAAACATTAGAAAGCTCAGTAAAATCAAATTCAATATTAGTGTTACCTAAGCAAGTTTCAAGAGTCTCTAGAGTCAATTCAATTTCTCGGTTCTACCTAAGAGAGTTTGACTTATAAACATTCTATTAAATATGTTGGTTTTCTTGAAGAATATTCTCTTGTTGATTTATTATAATTATTTATTTATTTTTTTCACAATTCCATTTTGTTGAAGCTATCAAGTATAAGCTTTGATGTAATAACCCCTGGCTTGTAAGATATGATTCCTCGTTGAAAGGTAGTATTCTCTCCCATTTCTTATTTTAATATCTTATGTCTTAGCTTGAAGTTAAGCTTGAATTATGTTGATGAATGTCCAGAAGATTTGGCCAACTTCAAACTTTTCTTTCATAATATATTCTTGCAATTCTAATTTGCTCCTTAATAAAAGTGACAAGCCATCTAGAACCTGTAATATTATTGATTCATGATGGACCACAATGGGGGAGATGGTCTATAAAGTTGATTTCAGTAGGCATTAACACATGCTTCGATAGTTGAAAAATCTCTCACTGAAAGATTTTGTTTTTTTTAATTGAATAATTAGAAGAAATGGAGTAACAAAATATAAGAAATTTGGGTGTACTAATCAAGAATGCCACAAAATGACAGAACCATCTTAATCACAGCTGAAAAAAGAGTCACAATATTCCCTTAGTAATTATTTTTCAAGAGTGACACCTTTATAATAGAAGACGCCCGCACACATCATAGCATAGGCAACCATCTTTCCCAAACCCAAACTTGAAATTCACATAAAGTTGGTTTTCGTAACACAGTTACATGCTCTCGTAAGTTTGCTCATGGAAAAAAATTACAATTTATAATGGAGCCAAAAGAAATGAGATAAGTGATAGATACTTCTAAATGATGACAGAGCCAAGACCAATTATTTTTAAAAGTAATCCATCAGCATTTCAAATAGTAATTTCTATTTCTAATTATTACAAGTCTTTATCCAAATATGTGGGGTCGGCTACATGAATCTTTTTTTTTTACATTGTCATATTGAGTGTCATACTTTCATTTAATTCTAATAAACTAAGATCATTTTTTATACAATATACCTAAGTCTTTTTAGGTCTAACTCTTCCTTTCTTAATATACGTTGAATCTAAAACATCTAATCTCCTAACTGGATCATGAGATGGTTGACATTTAATGTGACCAAACCATAAAAGATGACTCTCTCTAATCTTGTCTGTCACTAGAGTTACACCAACCCTATCATAGATACATTCGTTTCGCATTTTGTCTCTAAGTGTAAATTGACCCATCCACCTAAGCATTCTCATCTCAAGAACACTTAGTTCTGTGGTTCACTTTTAAGGGCAACATTCTGCGCCATAAAGCATTGCAGATCTCACCGCCATCCTATAAAATTTTCCTTTAAGTCTAAGCAGTACTTTTCTATCACAAAATAGGCACGATGTATTCCTCCAGTTAAACTAATCAACTTGAATTCTACTAATAACATCTCATCTATATCACCATTACTTCAAACAATAGACCTGAGACTTCTAAAATGTTCACATCTTTTAATGATTTGATCATCCATAATTACAACTCTGCCACTAGATCTATTACTAGTAAAATTACATTACATGTACTCAGTTTTAAATCTACTCAAACTAAGTCCTTTAGAATCCACTGTACAACTTCATAATTAAAGCTTTTTTTGAACTCTTTCTCTAGTCTTATCCACAAGAAGGATATCATCAGCAAAAAGCATACACCGAGATACCTCCTCTAAATGTTCAGTAAAAGCATCAATAACTAAATCAAAAAGATATAGGCCTAAAGTCGATCCCTGATGTAATCCAACTGAAATAGTAAAATACTTGGTCAATTTTCATTTTGTTCAAACACAAGTAACAGCTCTAATATGAATATCCTTAGTCATAGCAACACCTTTCTTTTCTAAATCAATAAAAATTATATGTAGATCATCCTTAGTCTTTGTGTACTTCCCCATCAAACATCTCAATAAATGTATAGCTTCCATAGTAGACTTGTTTCCATAGTAGACTTCCATAGTAGACTTGTCCGACATAAATCCAAACTAATTATGAGAAATCTTTGTATCACATCTTAATTTATGCTCAATTACTCTCTCCCATTATTTTAATATATGACAAATTAACTTAATTCCTCTATAATATGAACACTATTATGCATCTTCTTTATTCTTAAAATTGTTAGATATAAAAGCAACTAAAAAAAATAGGAAGCATATGTGCAAAATTAAGCCAAATTTCGCAACTTCCGAGCATGAAGGTAAATACAACAAATGAATATTTTTCAAAAGTTTTAAGTATAACAAATAAAACTGTCAGTAATCTGCATGGTGTCAAACATAAGCGAATGATAATGCCAAAAATGAAAATTCAAAAAGGTCTACAAGAACCAAAACTTGTGGCATGGTGCTTTTTCAACTATTTTTATACACAAAAAGTAGATTAAATATGCAAAAAAATATCTACAGGATATTATTTATACTAAGACAATGCACTCTTATGAAACAACAAATTTAGCAAACAAAAAGATATTCACCTTCAAAGCAATCTCCAAGCAAGCTAAACGATTAGATGGGCGACTCAAAATTAAACTCCATAATGCGCCAAGACCCTGAGTGGCTCGATCACCATCAGAAACATCTTTCTTAAGATGATCATAAATACTTGAGTAACAAACATCCTCCAACAATCTCAATGCAGAGTCTGGCAAAAATGGAGCTTCTCCAAGAAGTCTACTAAAGGACTAAGAAAAGGGGAAAAATAAATGAGGAAAAATATGTTAAACCAAACCTAAGTTTGTATATATATATATATATATATATATATATAAAGAGAGGGGGGGGGGACTGGTTTTGAAAAAAAAAAGCAAAAATAATAATTAACCAAAATTTAAAAAAAAAACTCACAATAGAAAGGAGAAATCTCTCATAATTACTGGCAGCAAAGTTAGAATTTTCATTTGATTCAGATAACATAATAGCATGTGTGTGGTATAGCACAAGCATTGTGAGTTCATGTCCCTGAAAAGAGAAGCATAAAAGACAATTCAGCAAGAAAATAATACAAAGAACAAATAAAAATATTTTCCAGGGCAGAATTCAATATGATTTGGAACAAAATATGGAGGTTCAACAGAAAAAAAAAGCTAATTGTTTAAGTGAAATTACAATAATCCCTAATGAGAAAAGGACCAAAATAAATCCCCGATTGTTTGTGATAGGCTAAAAAAAGGTTTGATTTAGTCCTTAAATGCTTAGAATGGGAGATAAAATTATGACATTATAATAAAATAACAGAAATTAAAGTTAAAATTAATGGATGGTATTAAAAATAAAGTTATTTTAAAATTTTACATATTTTCTAAATTTCTACAAAAGCTGATTCCCCATTTACCTTGTTTAGAAAGTATTCTGACAATAGCATTAACAATATCTCTTACTAAATTTTCAAATGCTTCTAAAAAATTAATACACATTAAATTTTAATATTTTAATAAATATTATCAATAAACTTCTTACAAAATATCTCAAACTAAACAAAAGCATTTATTAGATTTTGTAAGAAAATTCAGGAAGAAAATTTTTAAAAAATCATCATTTTTAGCTGCATCAATTAAATTTAACTTCATTTATTATTGCTTTTAACAATGCAACCATTTTGGACGAAATCAAAACTTCCATATAATCTTAAATTAAAATGGACCCCCGCAAATAATTGAAGAACAATTTTATAATCTGTAACTAAAATGGAGGACCATTTCGGTGAATTTCTCAATCCCTGATAAAATATTTGATCTCACTAACAATTAGTAATCTAGAAGTTGCCATATTAAAAGCTGCTTTATAAATACAAATATGCTTTAAATGATAGATAAATAAGCCAAAAGTTAAACTCTAAATAGCTCCTGCTTTTGTTTGACCATTTCTGTGTATTTCTCAATCCCTAATAAAATATTTTGTCTCACTAACTATTAGTTATCTAGAAGTTGGCATATTAAATGATTCTTTATAAATAAAAATATGATTTAAATTACAGATAAGGAAGCCAAAAAATGCTCTGAATCGCTCTTTTTTTTGTTTGCCCTCCTGAAGAATAAATTGCAATCATGATTGATGACTGTTACTAAACCAGCATCAATTTACAATAAATTACATGAAGAAAAGAAACAACAACAACAACAAAGCCTTAATCCCACTATGTGGGGTCGGCTACATGAATCCTTTTTCTCCATCGCGTCCTATGTAGTGTCATATTTTCATTTAGTTCTAGTAAATTAAGATCACTTTTTATACAAGAAGCCCAAGTCTTCCTAGGTCTACCTCTGCCTTTCTTAACACAAGTCGAATCTAAAATATCTACTCTCCTAATCAGATCATCAGATGATCGACGTTTAATGTGACCAAACCACCTAAGACGACTTTCTCTAATTTTGTCCGTCACAGGAGCTACAACAACCATATCACGGATATATCATTTCGCATTTTGTCTCTTAGTGTAAATCCACTCATCCACCTAATCATTCTCATCTCGGCAACACTTATTATTATGCTTCTCTTTTAAAGGCCAACATTCAGTGCCATAAAGTATTGCAGGTCTCACCACCGTCTTATACATGAAGAGAAGAAAAAAAAAATTCACATACCAAACTAAAAGCATCACACATTATTACATCACAGTTAAGATTGAAAATAGGAACTTAAATTATAGCATTAGTGCTATAATTAGAATTAATCCACTGCAACGAAAAACTAACAGCACAAAAATCTGATTAACCTTAGGGGTAAAACACAAAGATATTCTAGAACTGTATAACCAACAAAAAATTGAGCATTACAAAAAAAAAACTTTCCACAAAAAAAAAACAAAAAAAAACAGCAAGAATTTCTCAGCAGATTGAATTTGTGAGAAATAATGCAAACCACATTTGATAGAAGACTTTTGGGATGCTCGGAGAAATGTGTTCATGTATTTGAAATACTCATTTATTATAATTTCAAAATGGAGTGCCTATTATTTTAGTTGGCAGCATGCGATTTGCCACACCTATAGGATCATGATTTTGTGGCAATAAATTTTGTTTGTTATTTTAAGCCCGATAGACCCCATGATATTCCATGGCAATGAATTAGAACATAACAAAAAACAATTACAACTCAGCATCATCTCTTCCTATAGGCAAATAAGATATATAGGATCATGATTTTGTGGCAAAAAAATTGTTTTTTTTTTAATTTTATTTTAAACCCAATAGACCCCATGATACTGCATGGAAATGAATTATAAAAAAACAAAAAAAAATAAGACAAAGTCCCATCATCATCTTCCTCCCATAGTCAAATAGCACAAGGTCAAACAGGTTTGAGCGGTCCGTTGTCATAAATGTTCATAATGTGATCAGTATTGAAATAGAGAATGCAGGTGGATTCATGCATGGTTAATTACATGTGGGAACAATCATAAGGAAGACTTCATAGAATTGTGCATTAAGAAATCACATAAATGGGGAAAACAAATGCATGGAAAAATCACATTTATTAATCAGCACATTTTTTTAAAAAGGCAAAGCTTGATTTTATAGTTTTTTCCCCTTCTTATTTTTATTTTTTTTTGTTAACAAGAACATGTCATGTGTCTTCAAGCTTTAAATAGCTTCTTTACTTAAGACATTAACCAAAAGGTTAGTTTTTTAATTATTACTAAATTTGGTCAATTGGATCACAAATTTAATGCCCACGCACTTCTTAGTAAATTGGAAACTTGAGTACGCTTAAAACAGCACACATAAAACTAATAGCGGCTCACTAGTTCTAGCAATTTAAAAACTCATCAAGGAAAAAAAAATTGGTTCCATTAGTTATATCCTGCATGTAAAGAACAATCCATAATAAAGTAGCAATTAATATATCTATGTAAAAAAATTTGAAGAAAGTACAACAAACTACAATGAAAGAAGATAAACAGGTCGAAAATATAGTTTTGCAATTTCATTAAATTTAGTAATCACCAGACATCAATCTTTGCTTATTCTACCAAGACAATCATTATTGTGCTTGCAGAGGTCGTTAGCAAATAAAACACAAAAGAATTTAGAAAATTACATGTATAACGCCTAAACAACAAAACACAGCTTCCAGGCACTATATTGTGTACCTTTTGACGATCCCAATCTGAAATAATATGACTTTGCAAAAGTGAAACCACATCACCATCAGCATCACTCTGCAACACAAGGATATTTTTAGGTAAACATTAAAAGAGAAAATATACTTTAAAACAATCAGAAAGATCGATGAATCTCAAAAGCAAGTTAAAATATTTGGCTCAAATACCTGCCTCAAAAACTTTTTTACCAGAACTACAGGAAACTTTATCATGTCGAGCAATAAGTAAATAAAGATAAAAAAAAAAAATATACAAGCACCAAATCACTTAAAAGAAAGCTTCCGGAAAAGTTTCCATCCAATTAGATTTTCATCAGAAATGTTTGAAAGGATTGTAAAACTAAAAGCAATGTTTGCAAGCATACAGATAAAATAAAAATGATTATTGGATGGAAACAATTGTAAAACTAAAAGCACATAAACTGTCAAAACGTTTCAAAAAGCAATGTTTGACTAATATGAATCTGAAAGAGAAACGGTAAGGAAGAATATATCAAAACAAAAAAGGGAATAAGGAGTACAAAAAGAAAAATAATCCAAATCTTTAGATTTCAATCCTGGGACTTCAACTAAAGTCTATCTCATAAAGACTCAAGCCGTCCTAATCAGTATAAATTGAGCAAGCAACGTAAGGGAAGATTCTCAGCCTGACTTCCAAGTGATGGTGCAGCAACTATTATAGATCAGCAACATTAGAAAAAAAAAAACTTATAAATAAAAGTTAAATATGAAAAAGATTAAAGCCAACTAGAGCGGCTATTTATAATCTCAATTTACACGCCAGCATTATTAGCACTCAAAATCAAGTAATTCAAAGAAAAAGCTTCCACCATGTGAGCCGATGTAATTAAGTCCAACATTCTCAACTACGGGCTCTAGACCAACTAAATACAAATCAAATTCTACTTGATCGTGAATTCAACACCTACAAGCCAAGACAGTCTACTTATGCCTTATCAAAAAGATCATAAATAAAAAGCTTCAAACTTTATAAAAAGAAGAATTCTTAGGGCTATGTGTAGATTTTTAGAGCCCATAATTTATGATGACTATTGGTAAAGATTTATTTTTCTATCTTTGGCTAATAATTTTGGCTACGTTGGATGTTGAGGACACCTATGTGGCACACTCCAACTTTTTTATGCTTCCAATCCATTATTTAAGAGTGACTATCACGTTTATTTAATAGGTTCTAACAACAGAGATGACATATGTGTGATGGTACAATGAGTCTAAGTAGAGAAAACTCCTGAGGGCTCCGAAAATTCCAACTCTCTGCATTTATTTTTTTATGTTTTGAGAAAGCTTTGGAGAGTTAAATTTTCAAAAAACATATTGGATTGTAGATAAGTTATTACCCAGAGATTTCGCCCTCCATTTGCGAGGACTTTTTAATCTACGGTTCGAGGTTTCCCATATGCGCCAGCCCCTATGGTTAATTACCCCTCTCAATAACGGGAGAGCACTTTCAATTAAGATCATTAAAAATTGAATATGATTTAATCCATAAGATGCATTTGGTGTCATAAGGCAATTTATATGATTTTAAAACATGAATTAAATAAAATAAATGTTTAGAAGACCCATGTAAGACTTGAATTTATATAAATTTGTCTTATTTGAATGAATATATTGATGCAAGCAAAAGTTCACTTTAAGCTTTGTAAAGTACCGTCTTTTGTTAGCCAGCAAACATGTTGTGAATCTGGTGGCGAGCTTTTAAAGTTTCAAAATTTTCAAGTTTGAATTACTTTTGAAGCCTTATGAGCCTGTATTTTAAAGCATAAACTTTAAAATATTTGTACGCATAAAGAGCTTAAATTTCAAAAGCTCAAGACTTTAAATACATTTAAAATTCTAAAAGCATGCATTTTAAAAGCTTGAATTTTCAAATTATTATAAAATTTTAAACGATTTGTATTTTATTTTAATTTATAAGTGCAAATATTCCAGGTTTTTTAAATAATTACAAGTTCAAATCACTCAAAATTCCGACAACTTCACGGTGTCAACTTTCATTTGAAGGCACGGAAGAATGTCAGTCTTCCCAGCTATCTCAAAAGACTCGATGGTCGTGAGGCATTACGACGGGAAAGCAAAACAGAATATTTAACCCGTGATTTCAAAAGATGCAACGGGTCTTCAACATACCTGAAGAAAATGTCAAATCACAAGTAGATAATTCCCCAAGCGGTACTTTACTTTTCTGAAATGATACTTGATTCACACGGACGAGGTACTTGTGTTTCCCATGGACGAGTAATTTAAAATACCAATTTTAAAAAGAGTTCTCCAGACAAGTTTGTAATTCCCCAAACGGTAATTAATTCCCACGGACGGGTGCTCGCGCTCTCCTCTAATGGAGATTTTTTAAAATTAACCTATGTGTTATACCTTCGAGCTCTGTCGGCTTTGACGATGACGACGATAAAATAAAAGTATAACACGAAACTTTTTTTTTATAAAATACATGACATAAAGTACTTAATAATAAATTGGAGAAGGAAACCCTGGCTGGGTGGACTGCTCGGGCTCCAATAGCAAGACAAGTGAAGGCATTGTCCGGGTTCTGAGGATTGGCGGAAATGAGCAACTACGAGCTTCATTTCAAATAGGAACTTCGTGCTTATTCCACTGATTGCGATTTTATCGCAAAGGTAGTAGAAAAAGAGGCACAAATGGCTTCTGTGTACAGGAAGCGAAAGAAGAGAAAGATGGGAGTTTCGGAAGACTTTGTATGCCGCAATTTGTCGTTGCTTCCTTCACTACCTATAATCGTGAATGTATCGCAAGGGTTTCTTCACATAGAGATTCAGAGGTTTCTGTGTTGAGAGATCCGCTCATCTCTTTCCCGAGCGTAAAATGAGAGATAGTTGGGAAGCAATCGGGTTGTGCATGGAGCAACAAACAGTAGGGTGGCTTCATGCGTGCGATCGGAGAGAACAGAAGGAAGGGCTTTGGCTACAGAGATCGATGAAGAGGGCTAGGAGAAGCCTCATTTGGATATTACAGCTTTGTTTCTATCTTTCTATATGTGGACAGAAGAAATGATGGCCACTACACCTGTAAGAACAACCACCTCTACCTCCTCCACAAGCTCATGCTCGCTACATCTGCTTGCTCCCTACCCATGACAACAAAGAAAGCCATAGATGAGGGCACATATTGACGGCATTAACTCCTCCATCCATCAACTCATATGAAAACCACAAAAGACATGAATGAATCTATACATCACTGGAACGGTCATAAAAGCACAGTATGAGTTCATTAACCTTTCCCAATCCAACATAGAACATTTGATTCACCTCTAACAAGTAACGCACCAATGAATAAAAAAAGCCTGATGAAAATGTATAGGACAAAAATGAAGCCTTGCTTGAAGGCATCAAAGAATCATAGTTCAAGAATCTTCAATCTTTGATCCGACTAACTCACAAAACATTCATCATTAATCATTAACAGAACCAGACTTAAAAATCGCCAATTTTTCATTAGACTTTGAGATGTCATCAATTTTGCATCTCTGGTAATCTTTTATACAGGCACAAGGAGAAAAACATTCATAATTAGTGACTATTCGTTGCAGAAACCTAATAATGACTTGTGAGTTGTACTTCGATGGTGGTCAACACGGCTTACATATGATCCCGGCATCAATGGAATGCTCATAACCTATAAACCTCCATTTGGTCATCAGAGATGTATTTGTTCATCGTTGTTATATGTTGATTTGTAGACAGTAAGGGAGTGTGTACCTAGCAAATTAGATAAATATGATAATAATGTCTTCTTCTTCTTTTTTTTTCTAGGCATGCATTCAATAATTGGTACAAACATTAAAATTCTCAAATAATTTTTTTAGTGCTTTAAGCAAAGGAAAATTAGATAATAATTATTTTGGATACTTTTCGCATTCATAAATTAATCAATTATGCATGATATGTGCAAAGGTTGATTAAATGTCATGTCCAGCTAGATTTTGCAAATGATTCTCAGCAGCTAAAATGGAATCCACAAAGGCTTGGCAGAAGGGCTGTTAGAAAGGTAATTCAGATGTGTTTTAGATGTGTGTCTATTCATAAAGATTTAATATACTCTATGATTTAGAGAGATTGAAGTTTTACTGGGGTGCCTTGAGTCCACGAAAATAGTGCACCATTAAATTTTTTACTTGATTTATTCATAGAGATATATGCTAAGCATTAGAAAGATTATATATTCTTGTTTTATTTCCACATGTGCATGCCCATGTTATGTTAACAAAAAAATAAGGGAAAAAGTTTTCATTAAAGTGATCTATGACATGTGTACTAATGAACTCATTATGTTTGCTTTGACCATTCTGCCCTTCAAATGTGACTTTAAGTGAGAGGGCCAGCCGTGGTTAAATGCTATCATGGGTTCTCATTTTTTAGCAATGGCTTTAACCAATCAAAAATAAAGTATGAATAAATTCCTATAAAAAAAGAAAAACCATCCCCATATCACTGAATTTTTTAGCTATCCTTCATGACTTATGGGATTTAAGATACTCAAATATTCTCATTTGACTTAAAAAGATCATGAAGAATCAGGGGAAATTTCAATAAACACAAAAAAAAAATTCAAAAGAAAAAAATGATAAACCAAATGTTGAGACTAATCACCTCCAGACTGCTCTAGGTTGACCGGGTTATTTTGCATCATAAATCATGCTAATGCACCAAGTATTTAAACCTTAAAAAAAAAGTGCTCAAGAAGCAAATACAAGGGATAGATAGCCCAAGTGCGTTAAACGAAATATAAGCGCTAAATTGTATAGCATCAATGGAATATCAATGCATCAAAAAGTATTTTAATGCATCAGATTATCCCTCACTATATTTAGAAAACATGTAGACTTTGAGGGCTACTTGTATGAAAAGCACAACTGGTTGTGTCATTGCACTAATAGCAGTGCAATCATAGCATGCATTAAAAAGTTTGCCAAGGCACTAAGGCCCCATTTGGGGCAGCTTATAACAGCAGACAGCGTTTTCAAAATGCCGCCACCCTGTTTGCTTCGTGCGTTTCGGG